TTACAGCCAAATACAGAACAAATTATCATGGTCGGCACAAAATTATTTTTCCCGGGTATGAATGAATCGTAGGAGACGTCTGGTTCAGCAGTCAGAATCACTAATAACAGGAGCTACAGGTCTTCTTATTAATAATATCGTAATCCTAAAAATAATAACTTCACTTTATTGTCCTGGGTGAGAATCGAACTTACGACTTCTGGTTTAGTGGTCAGGGACACCAATTACTATAGACCAACAGGCCCGTCAAAACATGTAATCCGAGTGTTGGTATAAAAATAATCAAGTCGTCTACTTACAATGTTAGGTATTTCCTGTTAATAACTTTAGTAATACCAATCAATTCAGTAACTTGGCAATAGTCTTAAGTGTACAGCAAGCCAAATTTAAAGCATGTAGTCATAAGATAAAAGAATTATAAACAGTAACGGGATGTTTTGTCCCGCCTCCGAAATTATTCAATATGTGGGCAGTAACACATGTATTTGAAAACATTTAAGCAATGTTTGAAATAGATTTCCTGAGACGTAATGATCGATTAATATTTAAGTATGATAATAATAGAACCATTACTGATATCATTCTTGGTAAACTAAACATTGATCTGAAACCCAAAACTGTTTTCTAAGAATGAAAAAAGAGATTTGTGAATTAGAATTTTTTAGAACAATGATGTTATTGGTGAAACACAACTACTATAGTATTTTTTTCCATTACGTGAAGTGAAACAGTAAAAAAGAATGGAATAAGCAGAAAAAATGCAAGAAATCATTTGATTTTTTACCAATCTTAGACATTTAAGTTCAATATTTATTTTTTTATCCTCATCTAAGCTTTATTTAAATGCTTGCTCTTAAAATACTGAATGATTAGCATTTTTATTTTTTAACTTATTAATTGTAAAAAACAAAGCAGGCAACTGAGTAACGAATTATATTCTATAATTTTATTTGATAGTGCAAGAAAGACTTTTTTCTGAGCATATAAGATAGCTCTACTAAGAATATGATCCATGTAGTTGCAGTCGTAATAGTGTATTCTATTTTGATCTTAGTTTAAATCTTAGAAAAAAAATCTAAGTTTGTTGCTCAAATACTTGATTATTTTATTTATTTTAATTTAAGACTATGCTTCAAAATGCTCTATTTTATCGTATAGTTTAACCTGTATAAACTCATTACACTGCATCACAAGGGATGTTTTTCAGTAGAAGTTATACTGTTTAGCCTTCCTTGATGTCATCTCACTGAATTTCTAACTGAAGATTCAGTAACGTAATGAATTAGCACTTTATCATTGTCTCAGAGCGGCTTTAGTCTATCAATCTCAGAGCCTAAAGTATTTACATGTTGACACAATTTACCTGCTGATTTATTGGTCAGCTGACTTCTCCAGTTGCCAAAGGGTGTACATCAATGGATACTGAAGAAGAATTTACGACGTGAATTGATTTATTTATTATAATAAAATTGGACTTGCTTGTCAAAATTGCGAACTGAGAAACGAAGATATACTATATTTTTAAAGATGTTTTATAAAATGTGTCGAAGGTTTTTGGTTTAGAATAAACACTGATTTAAACATTCTCAGAGACGTGTTTAAAGTAAGTGCGTAACAATTTTCTGTTAAACAAAGGGATACCATTTTTTATATTCAAATATGTTCAATCATAAGTTCAATTTTGAACTATTCCATGGTCGAAGATCAGAATAGGTATATTTGAAATTTTATGAGTTATTTAACTGGAAATATTAAATGTACTGTTATAAGATGGTGATTAAGCATGTTTTCCAAATCTTTCTTATAACTTACATGCAAAATAAAGACCAAAAACTAAAATACTTTAAATTTCATGAAGTTTTCAGTACAGTAGTAATCCAGTAGTGTAAAACTATCAGTTCTTGACTGAAATTTTTTGAACAATGCCACAATGAAACGCCCACATCAATTTAATACATTAATGACGGGTTAAATCTTATTTCAGTATTAACAATAAATGCCATAAAATCAGTTTCTATCATCGGTGGAAAACACCTCTGCACCAGTGACGTCACACATGATGTGTCCGTTATCCAACCTATGGCGGTGCCTGCACTCACCCACGCAAATTCCGCCCGCCCGCCTCGGCCAGCCGCCAAAATTTTCATAGTTTAGTTACGATTTCGAAAACGACCCGACGCGTCCCACCGCCGGCGACCAAACTGCCCGATTTCTCTGACGAATTCAGTTTCTTATATTCTTCGTCAAGTTCTCTAACGTCTTACTTTACTGTAATAAGTACTTTTGTGAATGTGTTTTGACTGTGTGTCGTGAAACCATTGGATTAGTTGGTGTTATTTGTTGGTATGTCTATATCATTTACTAATATTATAGCAAACTAAGTTAAAAAATGAATTTATAGTTTAAGTCTTAAGCGTCGTATATGTGTACTCTAATTGAATGCATTGGTTAAAACATGTACGCCTTTGAAACTCCTTAATCCATAAAGTTGAAGATATGTATATTTTTATGACACTCATAAAACGGTTAAACCATAAAAGTAAATTTGGAGCGTTCGAGTGGGTACTTCGGGTTAAGATGCATCATTAAATCTGAAATTAAACGAGAGCGGTTAGGTAATCAGAAGAAGTTACAGTTGCAAGTTATAAAATTTCTTCTCCGAACGTTCGGCGCTAGTGAAGCTCCAGAGGCCTTCGGCGGTTACAGAAATAGATCGAGACTCTTTCGTTTCGTTCACACTCGTGATAATATGAACACTGGACACCCACTCGGTTACACTTCACCTTGCCAGTGGTGATGGCGCTGACCGAGGACAGTGAGTCATGCCGCGAATCGGCTCTCGAGTGTTGAGCTACATTTCTTATGATAATATATGATGAATGGTTTTCAGGTTGTTAATATTAATGAGCGGAACAGTATACTTGAGGCATGGTATGTTATAAAACAAGAGTAATTGAATATTTTAAAGTAGAAATATATAAAATATTTGAAAAAAGAACTATTTTATGCATAAAATATTTTCAAAATACAATTTGATTCAGTTTTGAATAAACATAAAGAATAGCAAAAAAAGATCAAGTTTCTTTTTAACTCATTTAAATAGGTCCCAGTCCTAAGTAAATGTGGAAATGTTAAACCTCAGTTTGGTTAATAGCGATTTACCAATTTTAATAGGTAATAGTTTTAAACGCATTTATGGCATCAGCTATATAGTGAGTATAGAAGATATCTCTGATCGGAAAAAAAGCCCACAAAAAAGTCCAAGAAATAAAAAATAAGACACACAAAACAATAATAATGTAAGTTTAAGCAAATAACTACGTTAAAACTTAAGAGTTTCTAAAAAACTTCTTTAATACGGCCTGAAATGTTTAGAAGCAAATAATAAAGAATAAATCGAGCAACTTTATGAGCTGCTTTATGTTAGTAAAATTCATTCATTAAACATAAGTATTTTACAATATTACTGAAACTTATTAAGAAACTTACGATTAGGTACCTTCAAGTAGACCTGGGTCATCGAATTATTATAAAGTTATCAAATTTGTCTAGAACTACAATATAGTTCTAGAGGTTTCATGTTTTTAGATATTTTACGGTATAGATAAATGATAATAAATTAGATATTTTACGGTATAGAGAAATGGCCACCGCTATCAATGGACACCTGTAACTCAAAAGTTACAATTCCATTGCCACCCTTACCGTCCGTAGGGACTGAACGGGCACCTCCCTCTTACCCTCTTATTGTGGGGCTCATCCCGGGGGGAAGGTTTGGGCTCCGGTAAACTTACTCACTCTGTAAAAAGCAATGAAAGAACTGCTTAACGCCGTTTTTCTGAGAGGCCGAGGCCGAGCCTGGAGCATATGCGCCGGAGCATGGCTTGCCGACTACATGGCCACATTCCACTTTTTCATGGGCTAAACAGTAGCCTTGAAAGTTACCAATTTGTGTAATAAAAAAGACGAGTAAGGAAAATTAAACTTTTACCATTTAATACACATTAAAAAAAAAATTATGTAACCCAGTCAATTTTAATTTTACCAAACCTCAAGCTTTCTTAAATAATTATGCAGAACCTGTATTCTACTTGAATCATTTGGGATGAAGTCGTATTACCTAATAAGTTATTATAAACGGTATGTATACTATAGCTGGTGGTGACGGATTAAGAAAACGGAGTGTCACCACCCCTATTCATCTCGTGGGTATTGTAAGAGCCGACTAAGGAAGCAAACCATGCAATGCAATAGTACTGCAAATAGAAGGAAAACTTGAAACAAACCCCTATAATTCCAAACCGTTTGACTAGCGTGGCCAAAACCTCCTTTCTAAGGAGAAGCCTATGTCCAGCAGTGGACTATTAAAGGCTGTTGATGATGATGATACCAAGTTTCGGGATCACCGATAAACTTAGTGATAATGACTGATTGACGCCATTATTACGACTGCACCGCTGCCTGCAGTGCTGAGTGTTGTGGGTTCGATCCCCACATTGAAGAACACATTGTGTGATCCACAAATTGTTGTTCTGAATCTGGGTGACATTTGTGTGCGTTTCATGAATGTTTGTAAAGTCCTAATGCGTTGATATATTCCTAATGCGAGAGTTGTCTTTATTTAAAATTAAACAAGTCGTAGTACTATGATATTATTACATTTTTTTTACGAAATAACATGAATTAGACGAAAAAACAACATTATTTCAGATTGAATACCTCATACTCACTCCAATTTTAATAACTGTGAGAAAATTACGAATAGATTAAATTACTGATTTAAACATAACCAACATGATCTCAGATAAATCTAGTTAGGGTAGCAAACTAACATTCAACTTCACTTGGTTACGATAAATGAGAATTTATGTGATAGTGTAACAGTCCCAATTAGATGAATGACAAAATATTTATCTACGTTTTTATCTTCCCCAGGTTGAAGTGTAACATCAGAGCGGCAGTGTTGGTCCAGCCGCGATCGTAATGTCCCAAAGATAGCAATGGGGGTTGCCGACGATTTAGCCCCTAGCTTCACACAGAAGCCCCAGCTGCGCCAAGAAGACGATGGCAACAAACTCGTCTTCGAGTGCCAGCTGATCGCATCGCCCAAACCGGAGATTTGCTGGTTTAGGGGCGATGAACAGCTCAAAGAAGATGGAAGGACCAAGTTTAAGTTAGTATTATCATAAGAGCTTTTCTGAGCATTTTCTAACCTCATGATAACTAAGTGGGGTCTTATAGTAAGTTGCAAAACGGTTATTGCCTAAAAAGAAAGCAATGAGATTCTTATTCTGTTAATTTATGATAGAAATTAGTCATTGATACAATCTAAGCTTTTTTAACTTTAGTTTACTTAGTAAACAGTGAGGCTTCGCTAAATATAAATTTAAAAACAAAGACCAAAACAAAAATGGAAGATAGATGTATGTCAGAATTTTTTGCCATCTAGTTACCATCACATATTTATGCATATCACTGAAAAATCAATGCAAATGCTCACAAAAACACAACATCAGTTAACACAACACGCACACCTTATTTTGAAACTTATGTCATAAGATATTTTTCGTTTTGGGAGGTTGTCACAATTATTTGAACTTTGTTCCTATCACATCATTTTGACGCTACTTTAATATACCTATAAACTTCTATAAAACTATCGATAGATATATATATAATGACATCCCCTGACTGATTCATCAACACCGAGCGTGAACCGCTGTTACTACAAACTTGAAATTTTGGCAGCTGATGTTTTTTATGTTGCAAGCACCATCTAAGAAAGGATTTTTGAAAATTTCACAGCTAAGGTAGTAAAATAAGGGATAAATGATAATTTTTAAAGTTAGAAACACTAAATAAAAAATAATCACGAGAGTGAAAAAAAAAATTAAATAAAAAAATGCATTGTTTTATAGTGCTTTAATGGCAGATGATTTAGTATAAAAATAGACATCGCTATGTCTAATGGGTATGTCATGGTATCTTATTCTGACTAATATTATATAGATAATATCAGGCTTTGGGTTGTTAAGCTTTCACGACTTAACTACGACTGATCATCATGAAGTATAATCGATAAAAAGAATCATACGATTCGTCAAGACAAAACTCAGCTTAATTTTTAGTTTTGTGTCTAAGTTCTTGTGTGATTACAATGATTCCATATAATTCTTGATTTTTAGTTAGACCACAAATACACTTGAAAATCAATTGATATTAATAGTGGTTTCCGATGTCAACAATAGTAAATTAAATAAAATATCAATAAAAACTTTTGCTGTGAACTACATATATTTTTGACATATTAACATTGAACCTTTACCATTTCTAAATCTCTTAATATTATAATTTTACAACATGTTTCTAAGCAGTTTTCCTCGTTGAAGAATAGATCCCCAATGATCCAAATCAAACTTATCTGTACGTATCATCTGAAAATCACAGCCAGAACATCACTATTTATTTTTATATTCACGAATCTATTTTTTTTAGGGTGCCTTGTGCTCCCTTTCAACAACGTCTACTCTTAGTACATCGTCCAAATAATGTCATCAAATCAGATGAGACATGTCCCATTCTATTGGGTCAACGTTCGATATCGTTTGCTTCACTATTGGTTTGTCCCAAGTATCCCTTTGATGTGATCGGACCGGTCTCATCGGTTGACATACTTGGCATCGAATACCGCCGTCTATTAATATTTTAATGAGGAATAGAGATTTGGTGGTATACGTGTAGCAAATCACTATGAGCCTCGTGATATGTGTTATGATAATAGTTATTCTTAAATAGTTATACTGTACGAAGCTTCGCTCGCAACAATCACAACTTATATATCCTAGTTTTAAATATTCATTTAATACGGTCTTTTGGAGTTTTTTTTAAGTTTCTTTCCGCTTTCTTCAGGTTTTCTAGTAATTCCTTCTAGATATACCATTATCGTTTTCATGTTGGAGGTAGGTACAAATGCGTATGCGTAAAAACGTTGAAACTTGAACTCTTGCAAAATAGATAAAAACTTGAATGATTATTTTGCTATTGATTTACTTAAAACACTCGATGTTAGCAAGATAATCCACTCAGGAATGCTATTGTTCTCTCGATACAGCGATCGCCGGTACAACTCATAAAATCCGGCTCGAAGGACCATATGTTTGGGGAATAAGGTCTTTATCTATAAGCTGGTGAATAAAACACTTGCAATACGTCTTCACAGATATGACATTTTATTTGTACTAAAAATAATACTTAACAGCATAGAACTTATGGACTGTATGAATGTGTGAGCACAGTATGTTTGTGAGTGTGTAAGTGTTGCTACTGATTTTAAAAACAAAAGTATGATATTTAGACAGAGTTTAATATGTTCTGAAATGTCGTATTGTTTCAATGGAACTGGTAATTAATTACCTTTAAATCACCTAAGCATTTCAAATTCATTCATATTGAGAAAAATATTAATTAACCAAGATTATTTTTATATTGTGATCATACAGTGTTTTTTTATCTTATAGCATATTCATTTTCTTGTTGCACTTTGGTTTCTAAATTTTGCATTTAATTCTTTATTAGATCATCTTTCACATTGAGTCTCCAATTTATTTAAGCCCCGATTCGTGAACACCTATCAGCGCTGTAATTTGTACAATCGGCAAAATATAACATTGTAATTAACTAGCGTGTGTAGTCTGATGTACTAGAGACATTTAGTATTATCTAAGAACATCCAGTAAATAGTGTGTACATTGCCTATATTAGTCACTTTTAAGAAAAACATCTCTATAACTGCCTATCCCATGCATCTATCTATCAACCAACCAATAATAATTAATTTATGAACTAAATAACCTACTCCACATAGGAAACGGTGTTTAGTATGAGATTTATGTGACTTAAATCGTTCTGTTCAAGAGATATACTCGTAAATCGTTATTATTTATGGATTCATTTACTTTTTGTATTTTATAAAAAGCGACTAAGTACGAGTCGGACGCGCCCATGAAGGGTTCCGTAGTAGCAAGTATGCTTGTAGTTCGTTGTAACTTTAATCGATGTTTATGAAAGGTAAATTGCGGTTTACGATTTATGACGTATTAAAAAAAAACTACTCACTAGATCTCGTTCAAACCAATTTTCGGTGGAATTTTGCATGGTAATGTACATCAATTATTATTTTTAGTTTTATCATTCTCATATTTTAGAAGTAACAGGGGGGACATTTTACCACTTTGGAAGTGTCTCTCGCGCAAACTATTCAGTTTAGAAACAAATGAAATTAGAAACCTCAATATTATTTTTAAAGACCTATCCATAGATACACGTATGGGTTTCATGAAAAAAAATGTTTGAGTCTCAGTTGTATGGGGAACCCCCAAAATTTATTGTATATATGTATAGTTCTTATAGTTTCGGAAAAAGTGGCTGTGACATACGGACGGACAGACATGACGAATCCATAAGGGTTCCGTTTTTTGCCATTTGGCTACGGAACCCTAAAAACCATTTGAGAAGAAGACAACTTAGTAAATATTTTGGTTGAACGGGCCTGTTGGTCTTGCGGTCAATGACCCTGTCTGCTGGTCGTGGGTTCGAATCCCACCCAAGACAAATAAACAATATAAGAATTGGTATTCACTTCCTTAATCATAATTTATAATAATAATAATTTATACGTGCATTATAGATATAATCAAAACATTTTTACGGGTGTCATACATTTTTTAACATTTCCCATCCCCATAAGTACGTAGACCTGTATCTTAGGAATCCGAGTAATTTTCGATGTTATTTTATAACAACCGTGAAATTTTTAACTTTACTGTGGTGAAATAAATATGCGTCTATATATTAAGTACTACGGGTAATGGTTTGTGTATAGGAGAGTGTCGTATGTGTGAACTGCTGTATAGGGTTGAGTGTGGAGTGGGTGAGTGTATGTATTAAAAAGGTGTAGTGCGGTCTGTTTATGTTAGGAAAATTAATTTATGAACTCTTTCTAATATTTTTTCTGTGTTATCATATGTGAGTGATTGTAACCAGTCCTTTAGCCTAATTTTGAGTTTTTACAAAGGCAGCCTGTATACGTGAATTTCTATAAAAAAAAATATAAATCAGGGAACTTTGTGCTATGAATTGTCTACTGGCAAATACAGTACGGTAATACTGGTATGCCTTTTATACTTCTACATAAAAATGTATGAGAATATATTTTTATTTCTTTTATCTTCGTGCTTCTGAGAGCATGTTGAGTCGTCGATCCCGGTTCTTAAAATTTTTATCATTTTTTCTATCCTCATACATTTCAGTTACAACTTTTATGTCACTCACAACCAAAAACTATTTCTAAAATTTAATAACTTTAAAACCTTTTTAAATTAGTAACGTCAAATTTGAAAAATATTACCTGTTAACTACTTTAAAAAATTATGATCGTTATCTAATAATCTCTTAATCGGTTGATGGTAGGAATTTAAAAGTTCAAAACGCCAGACAGTTAATCAGTAAACTTGAGGGAAGAAGATAACACACTACACGAAATACTTGACTTCAAAAATTGATTGTACACTTCAAATGGTAAAGATAATGAGCCGACTGTCTGTTACACATAATCCTTATTGTACGCATAACTCATGTCTGTTATGTGGTAAGTATGATTGAGTTATAACAACGTAAACACATTTTATAGGCTGTGCATTATGCTTTCTTTATTACGCAATCATAGTCACAGAGCATACTACAAAGATACGTGGCTATTATCTGAAATTGCTTACATAAGAACAAGCACTATAAAAATAAAGAAACATTTAAATTTGTGGTGATCTTCGGTTAGAGTTACGAAACAGTTTAATGTAAAAATATTTTTGAGATACCAGATACCACAAGATAGCGAGAAAATCTTAAAACGATTACTTACGAGTTGTAGCAGGCTATCCGTCTGGGTCTTGTTAAATATCAGTGTCCTTCATGTATATAACACTGTCTAAGTCTCTTGATATAAAAATACTTAAGCAATATGAGTAACTTTATTGATATTAAGAAAAGTTATTGCTTTATACTACAAGTGAAATATGGCTGAAAACGTTTACAGTTAATTTATTAAAAATATTGTATGAAAGAAATTTGACAGGCCTGTTGGTCTAGTGGTACCTTTTTTTTTTTTTTTTTTTTCCC